TAGTCCCTGAATTTGAAGCGAGGATGCCGCGCGCCGCAGGTCTGGAGGAGTGGAGTGTTGCGAAAGGCTCACCGCCCCGCGAAAGTCCTTCCCGCTATAGCTGAAGCGAAAGCAACGCGATGAAAGCCTTGGCCAACTTGAGGGGAAAAAAAGCTTACCGTATGGAGTCTGGGACCCCAAAACACCATCACTCACCTTACACTCAAAGCAGTATTTCTGGTGAACAAATTAGCTAATACTACCTTGAGTTCAGTACTGTTGTCACTTTTGGTCTTTACAAGATCAGATGCAAATCTTTTCTATCACTGCTTGGCAGACGCTGAAATGTGTCGTGATTTGCCTTATGTTATACACTGCAATAAAGCTTCATTACGAAATCATGTCTCAGGATCCAAGCTTCACGATAGTTCGCTACATCTAATCGCCTCTTTGTGACGGAGTAAGGATGGTCCGGGGTGGAAAGAAGTGAGATAAAATTCCTCCCTAATTCCCACGTTTTCCTGTTCTCCTTAGGGCCACACTGACTTCTGCTTAGCCCAATGCTTTAACTACCACTTTACTGAACCCATAGAGGTAATTCAATTTCATGCCTTTCACTTTCCTTTACCTCAAAATTTCTTCCATAGTCTGAGAAAGAGTCCTGCTTTTCCAAAGCTAACTCTTTAACTTCATTCATGCAACAGTTACTGAATGTTTAAGATGCACCGGCACACTTGGGAGTAGAGAATGAAAAACACAAAATTGAGTTTAACAATCCTTACTCCTAATTTTAGCCTGTTGGGGAATGACATGTTTCTTTGATCACTTTACTTTTCTACGTCCTCTAAAATACTGCTCAACTAACATTCCCGTATACCTTCTCTACTGGTTCCTTTCTACCTTTCTACCTTTAGAAATCCTGCCCCTCTCCACCCAAAACCAAAACCAAAACCAGCTCACCTGTTGCTGGATTCTGTTTTATCACCTTAAGACCATTCTGTCTCTCCCACCTTTAAACTGCCTCCACTTTCACACCTTAATGTCATTTATCCCATACTTATTTTATCAGAACTAGCCTCCTGTCAAACTCAATTGATGGCTCTGCAATTCTCCTGGCATTTTTCTTGAAACCTTCAAGCCTTGGCATTCCCAAACTGTAATTACCCCTATTCTACCCTTGTCCACACTCAATGAACAAAGGTAAGTGGAGGAAATTTTCTGAATCCTGAAAAATAAACCTATTAGCTTTAGAGCTGAAAGGATGCTACTTGAGTGTGTAGTGAGCCATCCTTGTTTCACAAAGTAGCTGAACTGTCTACACCATGATCACATAACTGGAGGTGAACTGCTGGAATATATGTGTATTCATTTACCCTACACCCCTTGTACCCAACTCCATAAATGTCCTTTTCCTCCATAAAAATCAAGCGATCAAGCTCTCCCAACACCCAGCAACCTAGTGGGACTCTAGTGACAAGGATCTATAATCCAAAGTATCTGCAAGCAAGAGAGAGAACACAGACTTATGCCAGATAACCTAAAGTCTCAATCCTGGCTCTCACTTCCTAGCTGTGCAGCCTTGGGCAAATAGCTCTAATCTGCCTATTTCTTCACCTGTAAAATGGGGATAATTAGAGCACTTCCCTCAGAGGTTTGTTCTAAGGATTAATAAATTCACATAAAGTATCTGGAAGAGCACTGGCACATGGAAGTACTCAAAAAACATTAGTGTTATCCAACCTTACTTGCCAACTGAAAAGGAGGCATAAAACTCCCAGTAAATTTCAAATCTTTTTAGACACTGGGTAGAGCTTGCAGAAGTCCTGGGCTAGAGATGAATGCCTCCCAGGGAATGAGACGTGACATCTACCCAGTTAGGAAAAGGCAGTCATCTCCCATAGATCCCCTTTACCAACTGCTTTAAGTGGCAAACCTCAGCCACGGATATCCGAAGCCGCCTACAATGTTACCACAAAGTTTGATTCTAGATTAATCTCCCACCAGCTCCCCCAAATAAACCTTACATCAGACTAATATCCTGTTGCCCGAACACAGCCCTGTCATCTTTCATCTCTGGGCCATCACCTTGGAAATCCTACCCTCCTCTGCTTCGACTACTCCATCTGTTGAAATCCCACATTGCTTCCAAACCTGGCCAGCTCAAATAAATCACTTTGTGTTTCAACATTTATAATGAAACTGAATCCTCACTACCTTCTGTACATTCTGTAAATACCTTCTCTATTTTTACATACCCCAGTGTTTTATAGCACAGTATCTTGCACACAGAAGATGTTCAATATTGACTAAATTGGATAATCTCACTTCATTATCCCATTCTAACCCTAAGCACCTCTACAATGATTAAAATCTCAAAGGTGTCAATTATTAATTCTGAGCTAGATTCAGTCTTAAGTGAGATCCCTTGCTTTGAACCTAAACAAGCCAACCAGTCTAAAACAAGTTCTTTAACAGAAGACCTCTGAGATTTGGAAAAGACTTTTCTTCATATGTTGGAATGCTAAAATGCTAACTTGATAGACAAAACATTTTAATGATTAGTCACAAGAAAGTTCAAATGTTCCTTAAGTTAAAATTAATCTCTTATCAGTTCTTTATCCTTTGCAGGTTAAGAAGCATCAAATGTATGAGGCTACTCATAGGAAAGATGTCTTTGAAAATTAGGTTATAAATTATATGATTTTAACAATTATATATGTGATTGAGACACATATGAAATACTTTTCAAATTACATCCTTCTCAAGTCCTAAAGAGACTTAAATACTTGGTAATTCTTGAGAAAACTGAACCAAAACAAACATTACTAGTTCTATAGTTTTAATCATTTTACCATAATTATTGTCAAGTACTTTCTGATTTCAAATTTTAAAAGTAGCATTAAAAATAACGTGCAATTACAGCAAAGGAGACAACCAACAAAACTAAAAGGCAACCAACAGAATGGGAAAAGATATTTGCAAATGACGTAAGGGCTAGTATCCAAAATCTATAAAGAGCTCACCAAACTCCACACCTGAAAAACAAATAACCCAGTGAACAAATGGGCAGAAAACATGAATAGACACTTCTCTAAAGAAGACATCCGGATGGCCAACAGGCACACATGAAAAGATGCTCAACGTCGCTCCTCATCAGGGAAATACAAATCAAAACCACACTCAGATATCACCTCACGCATAGCCAAATTGGCAAAATGAACAAATCAGAGACTATAGATGCTGGAGGGATGTGGAGAAAGCGGGGAACCCTCTGCACTGATGACAGGAATGCAAGTGATGCAGCCACTCTGGGGAAAACAGTGTGGGTTCCTCAAGAAAATAGACCTATGACCCAACCAATAGCACTGCAGAATTTACCCAAAGGATACAGGAAATTTGATGCACTGCACTTGTACCCCAATGTTTATAGCAGCACTCTCAACAATAGCCAAATTATGGAAAGAGCCTAAATGTCCATCAACTAATGAATGGATAAAGAAATTGTGGTTTACACACACAATGGAGTACTACATGGCAATGAGAAAGAACGAAATATGGCCCTTTGTAGCAACGTGGATGGAACTGGACAGTGTGATGCTAAATTAAGCCATACAGAGAAAGACAGATACCATATGTTTTCACTCTTATATGGATCCTGAGAAACTTAACAGAAACCCATGGGGGAGGGAAAGGGAAAAAAAAAAAAAGAGAGGAATTAAGTGGGAGAGCAAAAAGCATAAGTCTTAAAGCTTGAGAACAAACTGAGGTTGATGGGAGTGGGAAGGAGGAAAGTGGGTGATGGGTATTGAGGAGGGCACCTTTTGGGATGAGCACTGGGTGTTGTATGGAAACCAATTTGACAATAAATTTCATATATTGAAAAAAATAATAAAAAAATAAAATAAAATAATGTGCAATTAGATTGGAAGTCAACATCCGTCAGTTGTAGGTGTTAGTCTACATACTAACTTCCTACCTTTTTAAATAAATGTCATGCTTACCTCCAATTTTTTGATTGTTTGGATTTTTTTTTTCAACATTGTATAAGGAGATATAAGCTTTACCATCTAACAAATAGAATATAGTTGACCCTTAAACAACTCAGGGGTTAGATGGTGCCAGTGTGCCCACAGTCAAAAATCTGACTCTAACCTTGGACTACTTAATAGCCTACTGTTGACTAGAAGCTTTACCAGTAACATAAGTAGTCAATTACCACCTATTTTGTATGTTATACATGTAAAGTAAGCTAGAGAAAAAAAAATGCTATTAAGAAAATCATAAGGAAGAGAAACTACATTTACAGTACCATGCTGCATTTACTGAAAAAAATCTATGTATAAGTGGACGAGTGTAGTTCAAACCCATGTTGTTCAAGGGCCAGCTGTTCATCCTGTTTTCATAAGGCAACAGATTCATATCTTTTAAAATACATTTTATTAAATAATCTACTTGGAGAATAATTACAAAAGCTTTAAACAGTAATTCCAAGTAGTAAAAGGCAATTTCCTTTCAAAAAAAAAAAAAAAAAAACCAGAGTCCATTATTATGTTTTGCTGCTTTATACACAGGAATGATTTATTTTACAAACTAGTCAGATCCAACATTAGCCTGTAAATTTTAAAACATTTCTTAATATGTCTCAAAGGCAAAGTGAACTCTATGATATGCTTTCACATTAACCAGAATGACAAACCATAAGAAAATTAACACCATAACAGTTCAAGATAAAACGAATAGGCACTTTGAAAGTGAAATCAGCTACTGTAAATCTCATAGTTCACGTTACTTGTACTTATCGCATTTCATCAAAGGTTATCAACCAGTGAGGCAAATGTTCCTTTGATGCAGAAGCACAAACACATTTAGGTTCCAAACACTGTGTTCTGGTTGTAATACATGCAAGACGGACCCTAACTTAGAAAAATCTTCTGAAAGAAAATGAAGAAAAACAAAAAGCAGCCAGGAATGAAAGCATTTACAAGCACTTGAATAAGGCCTTTAAGTGTTAAATCAGTGTTTTAAACCCCTTCATTCTCAGGTAAGGGATTAAGAGGCCGAGAGAGAGATCGTCTGCGAGGGTGAGGATACTGGAGGTTGGCAGTGTCAGCATCGCAAGAGTGCTCTACCAGAGGAGGAGGAGGAGGAGGAGGAAGGAGCTGGGCATAACTGGACCATCTCGATCCAGCCCGTGGGGAATCCAGAGGGGGAAAGAAATACCTGAAACAATGAAGACAGGAACAAAACACCAAAACAAAACAAAAACAACAGAAAAAAAAAAAAGAAAAAAAAAAACAGAAGAAAAAGAGAAAAGTAGTAAATACAAAGAGAACCAAAGAGGAGAAAACACATGCTGGAAAAAAAAAGCTTTAGTATATTCATGCCAAAACTAACAGAACATAATCGCAAAAATCAAGACCCTTACTCAAATCAAGCTTGCTTAAGCAAGTATAGAAACTTGAAAGAAAGAAATACAATCTGTTAAACTTAAAATGTTAAAAAAAATTATCAGTATGAATGTTACAAAAAAAGACATTTTATAATTTAAAACATTTTCTAATCTTTCAGAAACATATTTGATGCGATCCTGGAAATTTACAAATCTAATAAGCTTTTTATTTTAAGCAATGCTTCGTTTGTAGTAGCAGCAGGCACATGTTTTGTAGTGCATACAGGACACTGAGAACCAATCCAAATATACTTTCACAAAGTATGGCCAGCTATTGCAATATACTTCTGAAGAAATACAATCTTTGAAAACACTTAGCTGCTTTTCTGCAAAAACTTTAAATAGTACAAAATTTTGATAAGTAAAAGAGCTCAAAGAATATGTCCTATTGTTATTCTTCTGCCATTTTATAACTTACCCGTAATACTTAAGCACATTAGCAAACAAAGACTTATAGCTTTGTCATCAAGGTCAAAGTTCTAAAGAATATGAACTAAATGAAGCAGCCAACTAAATTAAAATCCTGAGGCTTGGAATGTGGAGGTTAATGTGCATGCACAATTTCAGCAAATTTTTAACTGCTCCTCTTATAGTATGTTTCCAAATTTTGACTTGAAGGAAAACTTAAGCCATGGAATTACACCATAAAAAATATACAAGCACATATTAGAAACATTTAGCTCTTTAGTGAATATGAATTGAAAACTTACAAAGATGTTTTCATTTTACTACCATATTATAAATGAAGCAATACCATATGTTTAATTTGGCCACAAACTGTACAGTCAAATTACTTTCATTTCACTACTACTTCTCTCACTCCTTTACTAATATTTTTTAAATATTACAAAGAAATGACAGAGTTGTATTAAATAATATCACGTATAAGCCAATTCTACAAAAGGTAATAAACAGATTAGCACTCAAAACAATCTTTATGAAAAATATTTATTCAATCTTCAAATTAAAATTATAAAAATTCATCATTTTCGCTTACTATTTTAGAAAACAAAAGAAATAAGCCTGTATTCTCCAAATGGAATAAAGTGGTATTTTCCCTCCTCCCAACTACTTACAAGGATAGTAACAATCCTTTTAATTTTAAACCCATGTTAGTTTCGGGAACATTTCAAAAAATTGTTTTGGTGACAATGTCTCAACAAAAAGCCTCTCCATTTATATTTCAAAAGTTTCAAATAGTGTCAATAAACTGGCTAGTACAAAAAAAAATGATATACACGGTATTTTTAAAGGCCTTTTGGATTGCGTTTAGTAGTAAGCAGGCTGCTGGTGTATCTTGGGAGAGGTCAAACGGCGCTGGGGAAGGGGAAAAGGAGCTCGCTTTCCATTCCTGTGTGCATGCAACAAGCAGCAAAACAGCAAAGTTACTCCAGTTAGCTGGTACTCAGCTGTGCTTTCTGTTAAAGGACATAATACAAATGGAGAAGGGAAAATGCATCACAGATCTAACACACACGGTTATTGGCACAATAAGAATACAGATCAAAACTTCAAAGCTCTTTACAAAAGAATATACACAGTACAGGCAGCAACCAAAAATCAGATTTTTTTTTTAAATTAACAGTAGTATCCTTTGTTTCATGAAATCATTTTTATAACCTGATCTCTTCTGTGGTAACCTGAAATTGTTTACATGCAAATACTTAAATCTCAAAATCAAACAGGACTTTTTAAATAAAAATTTAACATTATAAAAATAGTTGAAGAAATTTTAAATAGAATTCTAAGAGGACAACAGAATAACCACAGGACAGTTTGTTAATAAGGACCATGCTTTGAAGTTTCCTGAATCGTATTCCAAATTATTCACAAAGGCATATTAAAATAAGCTGATCTTAAAAATTCACATATTTGAAATCTGAATATGAAAACAAAGGATGACTCTTCAGATCACATTGTTTGTCAAGATAAACAAGAATCTAAAATAGATTAAAAATTCTAAAAATCAATTTACCATTTTCTCTTACAATCTCCATTAAAGGTTTAAACACACCCACACACACACCCAACACCCACAAAACACATTTAACTCACTCTCATCTACAAAGGCTTAATGTATTTTATTGAAAATTTCAGCCTGACCTAATTCAAAGGCTACACTACTACCACTAACATACTAATGCTCATCTAGGACTAAAATCCTCAGCATTATCCCAGATTTGCTCTTCATCTTACTTGAGAAGCAAAGTAAAATCTTTAAGTTATAAACATTTCTGCCGGACCACTAAATTTCAGAATATAATTTAGTTTGTTTAATGGCTTAACAATCTACCTAATAAATATTATGACTATGTAAGCTAAATACAGAGCTAACAAAGTGAATTTTTTCTAGTATTATAATTGTGTATGAATTTCTTTATTCAATCTTAAAATCCATGAAATTACACACCTTTAGTCTGGCTATCAGAATGATTTTAAAAAGGAGATAATTTCTAGTTTTCCCACACAAACAGCCTACCTGCCAGAAGAAGATCCATTTAATGAATTTTGAAGATTTGGGATATTTGAACCTAGGGAAGGATTTGAGTTTCCCTGCTGAGAATTCCCAGTGACAGGGCTCCCATTACCTTTCAAAATACCAGTACACTTCCAATTGTCCATATAATTAGCTGAAAGGAAAATGGTCAAATACATTAACATGGCTAATAGCTTTGTTCAAGGACACAAATCTGTGTTCAAATTCTTAAACTACAATGAAAAAAACAAAAGAGGACTACATATCTCTCAAGATAAATGTTAAAGACATTTTTTAAATGAAATACGTATCTCAATTTTACCAATTATTTTTTAAAGTTTTAGAAAAATTACTAATTTAAAAAACAAAGTTTCTACCATTTCCTTTCCTTATAAGACAAATATTAACAGAGACAATTCTCTAAGCTACCACATTAACTTTAATATCAAAATAAATTGTTCATTTCATGATAATGAATTTCGATTACTTGTATATGTAGGGTTATGGAGCTGTCTTCTTGGTTATGCAAGTGTTAAGTCATGTGGGTACTTAATGTCCTCAGAGACGGACCCCTTTGGGGTTTGAGTGGCTAACCCAACATGGCCTAATTCTTCTAATACAAAATAGGTCACTGGAGACCCTTAGCCCAGGAAACCCAAGTTAGGGAGCCTGCTGGAGTGAAGCTGGGTGGTCCTGACTAAAGACCAGGGGCAAGAAAGAGAAGCAAAGCCCTTGACAGCAAATGATACTGAGGAAAGGGAGGTCTGGGCCGGTTCTGCCACAGCCTAAAACTGACCATGGGAGACTCAGCCAAATTGCATTTTGAGAAACAGTAACTACTCAGGGTACATGAGCTAAGCTATAAGTTATATGGGATGCCACTGACTAGAGTGGGACAAGGACCAAGGACACCTCCACCCAGTAGATACCCAGTAGATAAACGTCCATGGAAAAATGTAGACCATGCTACAGCAACCACAGCTAGCATCAAGTTACTAAACTGAATTCTCACTCAGCATGCCATTTACAAGAAACTTTCAGAATCAGTGGCCAGAAGATTCTTGAACTTTCGAGAGGTGCAGAGAAGAAGTGGAGATGATACTGGATTTTCTCCTATTAAGGGCTGGTTAGCTAGAGCAATTATTTAATAAGAGATGTCTATAGCCCTATCCTATGTTTGTAGAGCAGTCACACAAGTTACACACATAGCAAACGGTACCTTTTGGAGATACTGCATATTGTTACAATTACTTTTAGTTTTAAAAGGAGATCCACATGGAAACTTAAAAAACAATTCAAGTGTCATTAACTGCCATGAACTAGGTAAACTGATGGAGGTTCAAAATAACACAAATATAAGACATTAATTTGAAAATAACTGTAGAAAGATCATTTTTTTCCAAAATATTTCCGAGTTTACATGTCTAAATGAAAATTCTTAAGTAGCAACATAGAGCAACAATCCTTTCATTAAAACCTTACCTTTCCATAATCTTACACAGCCATCATCTCCTGAAGATGCTAACACTGTTCCTGTTATATTCCAACTCACTCGCCAGACCTGGGAATTATGATTATCAAACTGAGCCACTATATGGATTTCAAATTTTGTTGGTCCACCAGAGGAGGTAAGTTCTTTCCTATTAATAAAAAGATTTTCCTGAGAAATGCTGAGAAAAGATTTTACACACACGGTTCTAAATAAAAAAAATACATACACTTACCATATTATTTTATAATTATGTTCATATCTAAAACTACCACATTCCCTCCCATACTCCCCCACCTTAACTCATTGAGAGCTGGGCCATGTCACTTTCATTTGATTCTCCAGCACCTGGCATGATCCTACCACATAAAAATTATTCAGTGATTATTTCATGGAAGAAAGGAACAACAAAAGAGGCTTTATTCACCCAAACACAGTTGAGGAATAAAATACATAACAATTAATTTTAAAAGGAAAGCAGTAGGAAGGGAAGAATAGAAGGGGGGAAGGAAGGAAAAAAGGAACTGAAATTCACAATTCCAAAATTAAAGCCTGAATACATTATTCACAAGAATGTCTGAGCTAATTTAATTGTCCCTAAGTTACCTGACACCTCGCATTTGTTCAAACATTTACACAGTACCAATTATATTCAGAGGATCCAATTCATTGTAGTAGCCTAAATAAAATGCAATTAAGAAAACATAAATCTCCTATCTTTATTCAATTCCCCATCCCCAAAACTCATATATTTATAGATAAAATGTTCATTAAAGAATCCATTCTTCAGATCACAGTTGCCTCTTCATTCTCTTCCACAAATGAAAATAATCATGAGTTAAGAGCATTTTTAAATTAGTAATTGCTTCAAAACCTCACCTCACAGGCTTTAATGTAAAAATTCTCACATCTTTGGTTGCTATGGCTAGAATGTGGAAAGACCTTCCCAAGTTTGGAGCAAAGGCAATATCATGGACAGGATCTGTGACTGTCATGAGGGTTTCAGCTTTTGCATATTTCCTAATAAAAAAACAATTTATGTTAAAATTTTCAGAAATTAAAATTTTTAAAAATCCACACGTTTTTTACATTGTTCACAATGAAACAGTGTTTACCTCTGCAGTATATGTATATAGTATGACCAAGGCCTAACCCCCAGAAACTGAATGTGACCTAATTTAGAAAAAGGGTCTTTGTGTATATAACTAAGGATCTCAGGACAAGATCATCCTGGACCATCCTTATAAAGGACAGAAAAGGAGATACAGAGAAGAAAGCCACGTGAAAACAGGGAGAGATTGGAATTATGCAGCCAGACACCAAGGACCTCCCAAAGTCACTAGAAGCCTTAAGAGACAAAGAAGAATTGTGGAAGCAGCATGGTGCTGACCACACCTTGACTTTAGATTTCTGGCCTCCAGAACTGTGAGAATAAATTGTTTTGTTTGTAGTGATTTGTTATGGCAGCCCTGGAAAATTAATATAAAGCCCCCAGGTTTTGTTCTTTGATTTTGTAAGTTTAGCTTAGAACAGTTTAACAAAACTTTAATTAGAATGAGATGCCGGGGCACCTGGGTGGCTCAGTCAGTTAAGTTGCTGAATCTTTAATCTCAGCTCAGGTCATGATCTCCCAGTTCGTGAGACTGAGCCCCACACTGGGCTCTGCACTGATAATGAGGAGCCTGCTTAGGATTATTTCTCCTCTCTCTCTGCCCTCCCCTGCTTGCCCACGTTCTCTCTCTCTCAAAATAAATAAACTTAAAAAAAAAAAGAATGAGATGCTGATTTATTAACCATTAATATCTATTTTCAAGAAAAGGGTAATTGAATGTCCTAAGTATTTGAGTATAAATTGGAAAATGAATTTGATAACAGGAGGAACTGCGTTCTTTTAGTGGTAATAAAGGGCACTATACTGAAATCTGTTTCATCCTTACAATTCTATTTCTACATGTGCAAACGGAGAAGATAATGAAGGAGACAACAAATAAGAATTTTAAATTATGTTTTTCTCCATTGTAAGTTCAATATCAGGGACAGAAATGAAGCACATAACCCTGTATGTAACAGAGGGAGTTAGAGAGAGGTACCTCTCTTACCTTTTCACTACCCTCCTCTAATATACTGGTGTTCCCAACAAATCTATGCTTGGCCTTCTTTTCATGCCAACATTTTCCCCAAATGTCTCCAAGCTAGCACATGCCTCAAGGCTCCTTGACCTCGTCTTCCCCTACATGATCATCCTGAGTAATCTAATCCACACCCTTGCTGCTTCTACTGTTTGGTCATAACTCCTGTGTTGGATTCTAGACAAGTCATTTTACTTTGTTGATCTGTTTCTTCATTCGTGAAAATGGTGATAATATAAAAGCTACCTACCCTCCTCATAAGGTGATTGTTAGAATTCAAATTTCATAATGTATGTGAAAATGCCATATAACCTGTATAAATATAGGCTCTTGTACTATTATCTAGACTAGGTCTGTCTTAATATTTTCATTCACCAATAGAAATAAATATATCCAATACTGGTAAATTCGACAAATGTTTTCTATTTGTTACTACTATTACTATTACTACTACTATTACTTACAGAAAGCTCAGTTAGGTATTCATAATTGGATGCTACATACTCCACTATCACATAGCCTCTACGTAACATGTTCAATCTGTATAACAACCTTTGAACAACTCTTACTTCAAAGAAACAGACAAGGACCATCCCCAAAATGGCTGATCTTAAAAGGTCTGGTAACTTCCTAAGTCAATCCCACATACACTCACACACAGACACAGTTACCTTCCCAATGCCACTTCCTGGCCATTCTAGATGCAGAAAATGCCTGGCACTTGCTGTCTACTCCCTTGCAGCTAAAGCACAGTAAGTGACCCAATTCTGGTCAGTGGGACCCAATGAAAAAGCTTGCTAAGGTGCTTCGAGAAAACTTTTTATTCTCTCCCTCATACAAAAAGATACATAAAAGCCAATGCCCTTCTTTGTATCTGCATGTGAAACCTGGAAATGCTCTTGTGATCCTAAGAGGGAGCTGTCACCAACACACTAAGGATGACTAAGGAAAATACCAAAAACTCTGATGTCATCATTGCACCAAGTGAGCCACTTAACCCCAGAACTGTTCCACTGCCAGGCTCCCTTGTTACAGGGAATCCAGCCCCTAATCTAGATTTATTCTGCTAAGAGACTTATACACAACTTTGGATTATCTTTATCACTGAATTCTTTTAAGTTTTAGGTACTTTCTATCTGCCCTGTATATTCTTTCAGAATTAACTTGCAAGTTATTTATCCCTTTACTCAAATATTATTTATGAAGTAGTTTCATTCTCCTACGTTTTAGAAATGGTCCCACATTCAAAGTTTTAGATTTATGCCTCCAAATTCATTCTGTTCAGCTAAGGTTGAAAGAAATTACTTTAACAGTATTAACTCTTCATAAAGCCTCTTTAAGAAGTGCTAATGATGTGGTTCGTAGCTTTAATAGCTTAAAAGGCTATGAAAGCCTCAAAAAGTTCTAAAGGAAGGTTCCTATATTCTAGAACTGTGCTGGCCAATAATCCAGTCACTAGCCACACGTGCCTATTTAAATTTAAATTAATAAAAATGAACAAATGCAGTTCTTCAGCTATAGTAGCCACATTTAAGCTTCAACAGTGGCATGTGGCTGGTGGCCACTGCATTAGCTAGCACAAGTACGGGGCATTTGCATCAGTGCAGCAAGTTCTACTGGACAGCACTGTTGTAAACAGTCTCTCTGAAGAAATCAAGAATCTGGGAAGTAGAGGGCTGGAGTAAGAACCCCTCAAAACTCCTAGTAACATTCTGAAATGCAGAGCCCACAGGAATTAAAATATACTGGTCCCCCTACTAGCCACAGTCTCACTTTCCACGGTTTGTTACCCACAATCAAATTTACATCCAGAAGATGATGCCCCTGATTTACCGTCAGAAGGTCAGCATGCCTACATCACTCACATAGGCATTTTATCTCATCTCATCACATACGCATTTTATCATCTCTCATGGTCACAGGAAGTGAATACAGCACAAAAAGATATTTTAAAAGAGAGGCTGCAATCACATAACTTTTATTACAGTGTATTGTTATAATTCTTCTATTTTATCACTAGCTATTGTTAATCTAATACTCTAACTTATAAACTTTATCGTAAGTATGTATGTATAGAAAAAAAAACACAGATGACACAGAATTTGGTACTATTAGAGGTTTTAGGCAGCTACTAGGGGTCTTAGAACGTATCCCCTATGGATAAGGGGGTGTAGTTCTTTCTTCTCCTCCACTTCTGGCCCTACCCAGCATCTGACTCCTAGACCCATGTGCTTGTTACCTAGCACATGTGAAGCCTACCTGATCAACTGATGGGTGCTCTTTTCTCTTACAAGATCTGAGAACACCTCTGACACACAGCTTACAGCTCTCAGAAGTACTGCAGGTATCTCAACATGACCCAAAATAGACTTTACTTCACATGCTGCTATACTCTACCCAAATGTGTCCTGTTTCCAGATGTCCTTATTTTAAGAAATTACATACCACCCATTGAATTATTAACCAGAACCTTGAAAATCATCTCAACAGATCCCCCTTTCTTCACCTTCTAAATCTAGTCATCAGATTCTATTGATACTATTTCTTAAATTATTCTCACTGTCCACTTCTCTCCATCCCCATTTGTTACTACTCTATGCCAAAGCCACTATAATCTCCCACCTGGACTGTTATAACAGCACCCAATCACTGAATCCACTCATGTTGCCCTCTAAAATACTTTTCACACCTATGGAAGAGTTTAACTACCATCCAACCCTATTATTCCCCAACTTAAAACTCTTTCAATGGCTTCATATCACCCATAAAATCTAAACACAAAACACTAGGTCGTGCAGATATAAGCCTTGCATATTTCTCACACACTCCCTTTTGCCTATTACATTTCAACTACAATAAAAATATACTGGTTTTCTCTTGTTCATGTACCTTATCACATGTAGTTTTCTCCATTTGGAATGTTTTCCCCTCTTTAACACTTTACTTTTCCTCATCCTGTAAGTCTTGTCTGGAGTGAACCTTCCTGGCCCCCTCTCCCAAGGTGTAGTAAGCCCTTAACATCCTGATTCTCCCAGTTGATAAAATTCATCACCATTTTTTACTATTTTTGTTTGTTTTCTCTGCAAGACGGTACATATTATTAAATCAGTCACCTTTTCCTCTATACCATTCAATTTTATATTATGGTAGCCTGGCACACAACTTGGCATAGCCTAGGAAATTAGTAAATATGTAATGAATGATGCATAATTCAGTGAATGAAGAAATAACATTTTAAAAAATCAAATGCAATTAAGAACAATTATTAAGACCAAATAGTACTAACCTGGTGTTTTCATTATATTCAAAAATCTGAACCTTGGCCATTGCATTTGGACTACTGTCATCACTTCCTACAGCTATCATGGGAGAATGAGCACGAGAGCTAGAAATGAAGAGTAAAAACTATTTTACATAAGTTAATATACATCTAATTCAAAGAATTAGAAAAATCTGGCATCAAGTAGCTCTACAACCCACATGTAAGTATGCCACTACTGTGACTGGATCCCCACCATGTATCTGACACAGTCACACCTTGGGAGGGTGTGTCCTTGAGAATGCTCAAGGTGGGGACAGATATCTTGCCCCTCTTGCTGACAGAAAAGTAGCTCTTTTCCCAAAAGAAAAGGTTTCAAGCATTCAGTAGATTAAAAAAAAAAAAAAAAAAAAAAAAGCCAAAAAAAACAAACAAAAAATTTTTTAAAAAAAGGCGACAGCCAAGAGGTCTTAGAATTTTTCTTCCTGAAAGATTTGGTCATTCACTATGGAATAAAAAGCAACCCTACAGTGACCAATTCATGACAAAAAGATTTTAAGTGCTTTGTACAAAAAGAGGAAACCCTGGGGACTCCTAGATGGCTCAGTAGGCTCAAGTCATGACATCAAGGTTTGTGGGATAGAGCCCCGCACAGGCCCTTTCCCTCAAAATAAATAAACTTAAAAATAAATAAATAAGAAATCCTGATAAAAGGAGAAAAAGTAGAAAAAGACCACACCTCAAGAAAGCATGCTACCCACAATGTCATTCTCTTCTCTAGATTCATTTTTAAAAAGGCAAGAGAAGTAATAAGATAATGAACTCTACTGAAATAAACTCTAGGTTACATTATTTTCTTCATTTCTATACCTAATTACCTCAGTATTGATTTCCTTTGCCTCCCTCACCCAAATTAAGTAATATCTCTGTGAACATTACCCCTTGTTTAACATCTGACCTTGACACTGTCATCTGCCAACTTCATAAAGGTGAAAACAGAATGTGGCAACTAAAAAAAAAGTAGATTGATCACCTACATCTCCTTCCCCTCCCTCCTAAGATTCCATGGAAATGATGAAAGAATAACACCATCATAATAGTCCTAGATATCAATGTGCCATCAGAAATCAAGAAATTTAAAGGAATTCCAGGAAGACAGGAAGCAGAAAGAAAGAAGACATGCAAGGGGGACAAGAAAAGAGCTCTATCAGTATCAGTAAGGAAGAAATTCCACAAACTCCAGCCTCCTCAATACATGCAAAGAACAGGAATGAGTAAGGGGACAATCATGAAATGATTCATTAAAAGAACTGCAATCAGAAGACCTCTTAGCTGGCAGCTAACTGGGCTCTAGCTAAAGAGAGTCTGAGGAAGGATAAGTGAGATGATCAAAACTTAACAGGAAAGAGACCCTGAAATAAAACAGCACTCCAAAACTGGCAGGGAGAGGAACAGAAGGAACAAAACACATTAAGGTGCTCCATCCCAAAAGTCAAGTCCTCCTGACTTTGGCAATTTGGGGTACCCCAGCCTGTTTTCCTCAGTTCCCTTGGTCTATACTCCCTACAAGGAAATCCTGCCAACACACTCCACCTAAGATGAAACTCAGCCAACCCCTAGGTAAGAGAGTGAGCTACTAAGAAAACAGAGCACCTAGCAGAAGAGAAATACCAATACCTGTTTTCTCTACTAGGCATAATAGTCTCTTGTTCATAACTACAAATAGATAAGCAAAGACTAACACACAAGGAAAACAAAAAGCATGAAAATAAAGACCACGATATACAAATGGATCTTTGAGAAAGTAGATATAGCTGATCCTCATTATTTGCAGGTTCTTTATTTATAAACTGGCCTACTTACTAAAATTTGTTTGTAACCCCCCCCCCCCCCCCCCCCCGCCCAAATTCAATATTTGGGACTTTCGTGGTCACCCATGAACATGCCTGGAGCAGCTCTGCAAAAAATTTGAGTCATTTGACCCACGCAGTCCATACTGAGATCGAACAAGGTAAGGTTCTGCCTCCTTATTTCAGCTCTCATGCTGAAAACAAGTGTTGCCTTCTATTCACCACCATTATTTTCATATTTTTGTGCTTTGTGTTGGTGATTTTACTACTTAAAATGGCCCCCATGGGTAGTACTGAAGTGCAGTCTAGTTTCTATGCTTAGCAAGAAGACTATACAATGTGCCTCATGGAGAAAATACTGTGTTAGATAAGCTTTGTTAAGGCCTGAGTTTTAATGCTGTTGGCGGACTTCAATGTTAACGAACCAGCAACATATGCTTAAAAAGGTATCTTTAAACACAAACACTCATAAAACAAGGTTAAGTATTTATCACTTGACAAAAATGTGATCAAAGGCTCATGGGAAACCAATCCTATATCTCTCAAAGGAGTGACACACTTGTCCCCTTAATTGCCTCCATTTGGACCTCAGTCTGTACTTTCTGATTTTTTTTTCCAACTTATCTCTTAACTCAGGCAAAAGACCCAGCCTGAAAAGCATCGTATAATGAGAACCAAAACTATCCCCTCAGGCAGTAACAGCTGCCCTGCTGCAGCAAGACCAAAGTGAATGACCTCAACACAGTGACTAACCTGACCTTTACTGCACAGCTAAACATACCCAATGACCTTTATCCCATATTTTCTTTATATAAACCTTAAGTATTTTCAGCATTTTGGAGACAGCTTTTGTGACACTAGTCCACTGTCTTCCCGGTGTGGGCCTCCCTAATATAAACTACTCTGTTGTTCCATCACCACTCATTTCTCTGCCTCTGGATTTACTAGCAGCCAGTGGCTGAACCTGTTCCATTTGAGAACCCTAAATTTATTATTATTTATAATGAAATAAAATTTAGAACTTCCTACCGGCAAAAGTCATCACAGTGTCAAAATGACAAACCACAAACTAGAATACACATGCAACAGTGCTCTGGTTACAGGAGCAACGGTTCGGTTCATTCAGTGTTCACTGAGCTTTATAGAACATAACTATTGCAAATATGGAGACCTACTGTAATTCAAGAAAGAAACACAAATTTAAAAAAATTTTAATTACAACCCTCAAAGAATATCATATCCATGTAACAAAAACTGACTGGATACCCAGAGAACTAGCAGGAGATCTTGATGACAGAGTAGTAAATCTCCAAACCATTTTAAAGAAATGGGAGAGTAAATCCAAGAATATTCAAAGATGAGTTCCGTAAAGGCAGAACAGAGACAACATAAGAAAATTATCAAAGAATCATAGGAAATTTTTTAAAAATCATAAGAAATTTCCAATTCGACAAGAATCTTCATTTTGAAAGGCACCACTAAATGTCAAGCAGGATGAATCAAAAAAGACCAACACCTAATAGTATATGTCTGGGTTTACTTCAAAATAATCCAGTTTTTTATCGGGGGAAGAGGGACAGTGGGAAGTCATATACAGATGAAAAAAAGACTAGCGGGGCGCCTGGGTGGCTCAGTCGGTTGGGCGGCCGACTTCGGCTCAGGTCATGATCTTGCGGTCCGTGAGTTCGAGCCCCGCGTCAGGTTCTGTGCTGACAGCTCAGAGCCTGGAGCCTGTTTCAGATTCTGTGTCTCCCTCTCGCTGACCCTCCCCTGTTCATGCTCTGTCTCTCTCTGTCTCAAAAATAAATAAAACGTTAAAAAAAAAAAATTAAAAAAAAAAAGAAAAGAAAAAAAGACTAGCTTTTGAGTTATTGCAGCTGGGTGATGAATATGTGAAGGGTCTGCCCACTGTATTATCATTTTTGGTAGATATGAAAATTTGCCTAATAAAAACTGTAAAAATAATACCTAGAAACATCCTGGATACATTTTAGAATTCTGCTACCTCAAATCACACAAAGCAATTCCAGGAGGTATAATGACCTAAATGTGAAAAGCAAAACCAAAATCCATTCAGAATACACTTGAAAACCTTAAGGTGGTGACAAATCCCTCAAGTAAAATACAAAAAGCACTAGAAGAATAAAGGAAAGACTGATACACGTGGTTACATTAAAACTCAGAATTCTCTAGGGGCTTCTGGGTGGCTCAGTCAGTTAAATGTTCAACTCCTGATGTCAGCTCAAGTCATGATCTCATGGTCGTTGAGACAAAGCACTGCATCAGGCTACATGCTGAGTGCAGAGCCTGATTAAGATTCTCTTTCTCTCCCTCTGCTCCTCTCTCCCATTCACGCTCTCTCTCAAAAGAAAGAAGCCTCAAAAATTTATAATAATACAATAAAATTCAGAACTTCCTACCGTCAAAAGTCATCACAGTGTCAAAATGACAAACCACAAACTAGGAGAATACACATGCAACAAAGCTCAAAGTAGTTAAGACAAAAATCCTGAAAACTTCCAGAAAGAACAGGCTACCTACAAAAGAACCAGCATTAGACTGACCTCAGACTTCTCATTCACACTTAAATTAAAAAGATTCTCAAGGACACTATCTTCGAAATTCTTACATTTTTCTAAAGCTAGCCAAACTACAATTAACCATGGGGTAAAATTAAGACGTTTTCTGGTATGTCAGAATTCAAAGAAGTTTGCCATCCATCCGTATGAAAAAAAATATACTTTAAGAGATGTGTCAGTCACCAAAATAAAAAAACAAAAAATCTAAAGACAACATGTGATATGAAAATTGTGACAGCCAAGTATAACCCAGAAGACTCAAGAAAGAAAACAGAGCATCCATCAGAAGTTAACACCACAAGCTGCTGCAGCCACTCTGGAAAACAGTATGGAGGTTCCTCAAAAAACTAAAAATAGAACTACCCTACAACCCAGCAATTGCACTACTAGGCATTTATCCACAGGACACAGGGGAGCTGTTTCGAAGGGACATATGCACCCCCATGTTTATAGCAGCACTATCAACAATAGCCAAAGTATGGAAAGAGCCCAAATGTCCATCGATGGATGCATGGATAAAGAAGATGTGGGATATATATACAATGGAGTATTACTCGGCAATCAAAACGAATGAAATCTTACCATTTGCAACTACGCGGATGGAACTGGAGGGTATTATGCTAAGTGAAATTAGTCAGAGAAAGACAAAACTCCTATGACTTCACTCATATGAGGACTTTAAGAGACAAAACAGATGAACATAAGGAAAGGGAAACA